ATTTAAAATGTAAAAAAATTTTAAAAATAGAAAAAGCTTATACAATAAGGATATAAAAAAATATTTTTGTATGGCTGTATGATGTGTCTGTGTTTTAAGTTCAGTGTTATTACCACAGTCAGAAAGTTTTTAAAAATTTAAAAGTTTATAAAGGAAAAAAGTTACAGTAAGCTAAGGCTAATTTATTATTGAAGAAAAATCCTTTTGAATAAATTTAGTGCAGCCTAAATGTCCAGTGTTTATAAAGTCTACAGTAATGTACAGTAGTGTCCTAAGCCTTCACATTCACTCACAGACTCACCCAGAGCAACTTCCAGTCCTGCAAGCTCCATTCATGGTAAGTGCCCTATACAGGTGTACCATTTTTCTCTCTTTCGTACCACATTTTTACCGAACTTTTTCTACGTTAAGATAATGCTTGGATATATAAATACTTACCACTGCGTTACAGTTGTCTACAGTATTCAGTACTGCAACATGCTGTACATGTTTGCAGCCTAGGAGCAAGAGGCTATACATATAGTCTAGGTGCACAGTAGGCTATACCATACAGGTTTGTGTAAGTACACTCTATGATGTTTGCACAACGAAATCACCTAACAATGTCCACCAATGCATTTCTTAGAATGTATGCCCATCGCTAAGGGGCATATGACCATATGTTCAGACTGTAGTACAAATGAAACAACTGTAAGAAATACTGTGACTTGAGAAACGCACGCTGCAGAAAACCATATGATCACAGCATACATTTAATAAATTCTAAGCACACTCACACACACACTTTAACATCTTTAAAAATCACATGAGGTTTTATAATCTATAGTATTTTTTTTTATTTCTGCATATTATGGGGGTACAAATGTTTAGGTTATATTGCCCTTGCCCCCGCCCGCCCCAGTGAGAGGTTCAAGCATGTCCATCGCCCTATAATCTATAGTATTTTACAGTTATGAATCAGCAGTTTTTCTTTGTTAATGGCATGTAAGATAATAATCTTAGAATAGATGGAATACACATACATATTCTATGGGTACATTCATGTGAATGTAAGAATAAGAAAGTGCAAGGAGGTAGGATTAGCAGTGGTCATCAAGGAGAATTTAAGCCTTCCTTTCAACATTTTTTAATCTTTCAAAGGAAAACGTCCAGGACAAACTAAACTGTCACGAGACATTGCATATGGACGAGTGACTGGCAAAACTGAGGGGGTCAGGAGTGAAGAGGAGTTTCCCCATTTATACATATTGAAATTTTTTTCAATAAGAACTCACGTAATATTTGCAAAAAATATTTTTAAAAAGACAAAACTATGGCTCTGACCTTACTTATGTAATAAAAATCAAAACAACTCAGTAACCTGTGGACCTGCCATCTGTACTTTCCACTGAGCAAACAGTATCACTGAACAGTAAAGCACCTAGAGTAGGAACTTCTTTTAAAGCTCTTAGGACAGGATTATCATACTTCCACATCTACAAACTAAAAGGCAATTCTTATTTCATAATCTAATTCTGGCTGGTATAGTGGCTCATGCCTATAACCTTAGCACTTTGGGAGGCTAGAGGGGGAGGACTGCTTGAGGCCAGGAGTTTGAGACCAGCCTGGGCAACTGCAAGACCCTGTATCTACAAAAAATAATAAACTACCCGGGTGTGGTGGCACACGCCTGTAGCTATCGCTTGAGCCCAGGAGTTTGAGGTTGCAGTGTACTATGATGACATGACTGTACTCCAGTCCAGGCAACAGAGATCCTATCTTAAAAAAAAAAGAAAATCTAACCTTAGAATGCTATTTCAATCAATGGTGGACATTATGTAAGATCCTTTTTATATTTATAGATTCATTCCACTTAATAAATATTTATTGAGCCTCTGTGTACATATCACCGTGCTAGATGCTAAGAATTCATTGTCCTCATGGAGCTTACAAACTATTGAGTTCAATTAAAAATTTGTAAGTTGGCAATACAATGAATGGTTGCATCTGGGTGTGTATTTAGGGATATATATGTGTATATATCAAGCAAATTATAACAAAATTATATTGAGATAAAAGAAAGATAATTTTAGAGTTTAATTTTGACCTAGGAAAAACTACAGGTAATGAAATAGACTAGTTCGAACTCCTTAAGTGGAGTAGTTGTGTTAAAAAAAAAAAGTGCCCCACCCAAGCTCTATGCACATGGTAATACAGTGTCAAGCGAATAACTTGGCAAAATTATAAAACGGATTATAAAATTGATCTGATCCACGACTGTAATGAGATATATTACAATATCTTCTCAGTAAATTAAAAAGACAATAACATTTGTCAGTAGACAAATTGTTTAAAAACAGTTAATAAACTATTTCTAAGAAACATGTCCACAAACTTTGAGGCAAAAAATGCATATTGTTTTTAATCACATATGATGAAACATAATTAACTGAGGGATTACATTCAGCTGTAATAGGAAACACCCACAATATACCTGATATGAAGAAGGTACTTATGCTCACATGAAAGTAGTGGGTAAGGCCAGGCACAGTGGCTCGTGCCTATAATCCCAGCACTTTTAGAGGCCGAGGCGGGAGGATCACTTGAGGCCAGGAGTCCAAGACCAACCTGGGCAACACAGTGAGAGCCCCATCTCTACAAAAAGATAATAATAAAATTAAAGTGCCTGTGGTCCCAGCTACTCAGGAGGGTGAGGCAGGAGGATCGCTTGAGTCCAAGAATTTGATGCTACGGTGAGCTACGATCACGCCACTTCACTTTAGCCTGGGTGACAGAGCAAGATCCTGCCTCAAAAAAAAAACAACAAACAAAAAAAGTACTGGGTGACACCAGTAGAAAAATAAGCTCCCAGGTAGCTGTTTCTGATGACACTACTGTAACTGCCATCCTGAATCAGGAACAGTCAATACCAGTATGAACACAGGTGTTTACTATACAAATTAGACTTCATATCAATTCAATCTACAGACTAGGAGAGTCAGACCATCAGAATATTCCCACCCACCAGTCTGAACTGGCTGCCTGGTACATACATTAGGGCTTGCGGGAAAATCCAGAGTATGGATCAATCTTTGAGTATGTGTTGTTTTAAGTCACTGAATTTATAGTAATTTGTTAACAGGAGCAATAAAGAAACTAAAACACCCTAAACACATTTTCTCAAGCAATTAAAAATAGATATGGCATCTATGTCAAGTTCTTACTACATCTGTAAGTATTTAACTTTACAATCCTAATAGGACAGCACAAATAATTTGATAATAGACTTATAATTGGTTACCAAGCCCAAAGTTCTGAGAGATTAAAATTAAGTCCCTTCTACCTGAAATTAATTGTACTAAAGATTATTAGGCTCACACCCCAACTGACAGTTTATAGGAGAAATCATATTTTTCCCTTCTCTCTGGAGGTAAAAAAATGTGCCAAATTATTTCAATGCCCCTTCTGGCCTTTATTTGATGAAGGCCATAAAATCTATGGGTTGGAAAGGATGTCAAAGACAGGTGATCGAACTGCAAATCCAAAGCTCAAATCCCCTCTACATGGCTACCTAGCAAATGCCAACATACGCTTGCAAAGTTCTTGGTGATGGGAACTCACTGTCCCAAAGCAGTTTATTCCATCTTTGGATAGCTGTGATTCTTAGTTCTTTATTCTGAGCACATATCTCTCATTTCTATCCACAGGGTCTATTTCTTGTCCTCAGCATTAAATAAAACACATCTAAAGACCAGACCTCGCAAAGTCACAAAATATCCCTCGTGTTTGCCCTGAGTTTTCTATTCTCTAGGCTGAACACTCCTAGCTTATTCGATCATACCTCAAAGACCTAAATTTAAACCCCAGCTCTGCTGTTTATTAAGTATATATAACATGGACAAGTGATTTAACCTTTGGAATCTATTTTATCATCGATAAAATGGAGATAATACTGCTCCTTAGGGTTCTTGTGAGTGTTAGAAATAATGTGTTCCAAAGTCTTGGTATAGTGCCTGCATAGAGCAGCAATGACTCAACAGTGGCCATTATGATAATAATGGCAGGGATTTGAATTCCCACTTGATACAAGGTGCTCTCTTGTGAATGAGCTACATTCTGTCTTTAACCCTAAAAGGTAATTCCTCAAACTGAAAGCAGTATCCAGGGCTTGTCTGCTCTGTGCAGAGGAGAGCAGGGCCATCTCTCCCTTCCCTCATCCCTTCCCTGTGTTGCCTCACAGAGAAAACAGTTCGAATAAAATCTATCTTTTAGAAATACTAAAATTAAAAACACATCTCCTTCATGTTGGATTGAGAAAAAACCTGACAATTTTTTTTTTTTTTTTTGAGACACAGTCTCACTGTGTTGCCCGGGCTAGAGTGAGTGCCGTGGCGTCAGCCTAGCTCACAGCAACCTCAAACTCCTGGGCTCAAGCAATCCTTCTGCCTCAGCCTCCCGAGTAGCTGGGACTACAGGTACGCGCCACCATGCCCGGCTAATTTTTTCTATATATTTTTAGTTGTCCGATTAATTTCTTTCTATTTTTAGTAGAGACAGGGTCTCGCTCTTGCTCAGGCTGGTCTCGAACTCCTGAGCTCAAACGATCCACCCGCCTCGGCCTCCCAGAGAGCTAGGATTACAGGCGTGAGCCACCGCGCCCGGCCAATTTTTTTTTTTTAATAAGAGACCAGGTCTAGCTCTGTCATCCAGGTTGGAGAGTTGTGGTGCGGCAACCATAGCTCACTGTTACCTTGAACTCCTGGGCTTAAGCAATCCTCCCACCTTAGCCTCCCGTGTAGCTGGGACTACAGGCGCACACCAGCACACCTGGCTAATTTTATTATGTTTTGTAGAGACAAGGTCTCATTATGTTGCCCAAGCTAGTCTCAAACTCCTGGCCTCAAGTGATCCTCCTGCCTCTCCCTCCCAAAGTACTGGCATTATAGGCATGAGCCACCACACTCAGCCTGAAAATTTTGGTTCAGCTCAAATTTAATATGAACTCTATATTATAGAGTGTGGCTATAATTGTTTTCCTATTTTAAAGCTGTCCCTTAGGTCTATATATCGTCCTATACTATTACACACTGGTGTCTAAAGGTAAATATAATAAAGAAGGGAAGGAAACAAACTCAAAATTTAATAGATGTTCCAAGTAACAATTAAACTTGAAATTATCTTGAGATTAGACCATTTAAGTCCAGGAGGCACCCACTAATTATACACATAAGTTTTCAATGAATAAATTCCAGCTGTACAGTATTTTAAAACATTAATAAGGTCATTTATAAAAGTTCTTGTAGATGCCTATATAAAGATGACAACAGGAAATGGAATCATTGCAGTTGCCCATATGATTGCTATCATTAATATAATTCTCTGCTAGTATATAATATTCTGCTATCAGTGATATAATTAAGTATAATCAATAGCAATGCTAGCAAAAATATGTTAACTATTCCATAAAGAAACTGAGGTTGGGCGAAGTGGCTCATGCCTGGAACGCCAGTACTTCGGGAGGCTGAGGCAGGATGACTTGAGGCCTGGAGTTCAAAACCAGCCTGGGCAACATATCGAGACTTTGTCTCTACAAAAAAATTTTAAAAATTAGCCAGACATGGTGATGTGCACCTCTAGTCCCAGCTACTTGGGAGGTTGAACTAAACTGCCTGAGTCCGGCAGTTGGAGGTTGCAGTAAGCTGTCATCACACCACTGTACTCCAGCCTGGACGACAGAGTGAAACCCTGTCTGTAAAAAAAAAATAAAAGAAAGAAACTGAGTCCAAGACTTAAGTCCTTCCAAATCCAACTACAGCTTCCTTTTACATATAATATCCCCCAAAAAGCTCCCTCCCCACACACCGCATATCTACTGAAAAGGCCTAGAAATAATGGCCAATCCAGCTGGCAATAGCACCCACTCCTATCACCCAGGTTATTACTGTTCAAATGCTCGTTCCCACTAAGAGGAACCATGTCTCCTTGGAGAAATGGCTGATTCCTACTGAGGAGGAAATGTATAAGATGAACTTGGAATATCTTAGTATCAGATAGCAAGGAAGCTATGGAAGACTACTACAGTCATGTCAAAGGAAGCCAATTTGAAGACAGTACGATTTCTCACTTGTCAAAGACAGTACAATTTAAGCATCAATAACAATAATTCTGCTGAGAAATCCTCTATTAAAAAAAAAACTAGGAGCTAAAAGAAATTATATGTTTAAAAACATGAGTACTTTACGACATTAAAACTTGAGGCTGCCAGGGAAACAATTCAGTATTTTGAAACCTAGTAAATAAAGGAAAAGAAGCATTTTTCTTTCCTTTTCTATTTGAACTCTATCCCAAGCCAAACAGTACATGAGGAAAAGCATTCCAGTGAGGGAAAGACAATTTATAGAGTATCACCATTTTTTAATCCCTAATGAATGAACAGATCAAGACATTGATTATCAACAGTCCTAACATCACAAAAAGAGATCCAACCATTTTCATTGGCTTATTCAAGGGGTGGCGGGAGAAGAGATATGAAGCAGCCTTGCCAAAAAAACAGAACTTGAATCTGATCAAGACTTTAGATACAACTGCAGGAAATACAGAGATTGAAGGAATACATTAAGCCACATGGATGCAATCAGCAAAATCTACTGAACCATTAAATTTTTTCAACAAACAAAATGCAAGGGAAAAGGGGAGGGGGAGTATATCAACTACTTGCAATGTGTAGACTTTTATTCTGCACCTTATTTAAACGAACTGTTTTAAAACTTGTAATGTTTATGAAACTGGAAATTTGATCACTTGACTGGATATCTGATACTAATGAATTACTGTGTCTAATTTTTCTATGTGTGATAATGGTATTGCAGTCACTTTTAAAAAAAAGGAATCCTGCAGAGCACAGTGGCTCCTGCCTGGAATCTCAGGAATCTCAGCTACTTTGGATTCCAGGTGTGAACTGGGGTGGGAGGATTGTTTGAGCCCAGGAATTTGAGCCCAACCTGGGCAACATAGCGAGATCCCATCTCTTTAATTAATTATTTTTAAAAATATTTTTAGTCCTCATTTTTCAGAAATACATAATGAAATATTTACAGATGACTTGGGAAGCAGCTGGAGCAGATCTGGCTGGGTAATGGGTACAGAGGGTCATTGCACCATTCTGTTTTTGTGTATGTTTGAAATTCTCCATAATAAAAAGTCAAAATTTAAATTAAAAATTTTTAAACTTAAAAAATGTTCACATCCATTTTCAGTTTATAAGAGTGAAAACACTCGTTACATTATTGCAGGCCTCCCAAAAGGTCTAACATTTTATTAGTAGAAATAAGATGTAGCAATAATAGGGATTATCAATATTTCGAAGGCACATCTACTTTAGTCCTTTGGAGGGAATTTTTTCTCACATTCAAATTTGAACCTGATAGCAATGTTAGGTAAGAATTCAGAATACATAGTTCTCTTACACTTTACTTTTGCAGATACCTGGACTTTCCATAAAGCGATCATGCTTAGAAAAACAACCTAAATCTTTCCATTAGCCCTTAATATTTTCAAGCTATTAATAATAAAGAAGTTCCAAAATGTGTTTAGGCAACTGGATAGGTAGTTTTGAATATTTTTCTCAGACCACCACCAGAAAGCAGGGTTCGTATTTGCTTTTCATCTCTTGAAGTAAGAACTGTCTTTGGAAGAATCAGACAGCCTGAAAACCAACCCTGCCTCTTAACAAATAATAACTGAATGGCCTGGGGCAGCTCCCTCAACTAAAAAATGGGAATATCCTCCTAGAAGGAACCAAGGGAAGATTAAACAATGTGTATATACAGCTTTCAGCATAGTACTGACATTTAGCAAACATCTGCTCAATAACTACCAGCAATCATTCCTCTTAAATTTTAAATTAATGCAATCTACCAGCTTAATGTAATGAGGCAATAAAGCATTAAAAAAGAAAAAGCCCACCCCAAAGAACTCTAAAAACCAAAATACAATACCCCAGGTTAACTCTATCCAAGAAGTGTAAATGCTATAATAAAGCAATCCATTTGGGTTCCTGTGGGTCCTTAACCCAAGGAGATAAGAAAACCCAGTTTAGGCCAGTTGTGGTGGCTCACACCTGTAATCCTAGCACTCTGGGAGGCCAAGGCGGGAGGATAGCTTAAGGTCAGGAGTTCGAGACCAGCCTGAGCAAGAGCAAGACTCCATCTCTACTAAAAATAGAAAAAATTAGCCAGGCATGGTGGCATGTGCCTGTAGTCCCAGCTACTTGGGAGGCTGACGCAGGAGGAACACTGGAGCCCAGGAGTTTGAGGTTGCAGCAAGCAATGATGACACCACTGCACTCTAGCCAGGCAACAGAGACCTGATTCCAAAAAAAAAGGAAGTCTCTGCAAAACTGGTAAAACATCAAGTAATCTGCTAGAAAAATTCACAAATTAAAACAAAGGCAGCATTACTTGGCTCACCCCACTCACTTTCCAAAAGTGGGGTGAGTGCTTTTACTTCTGACTGCTTTTACATCTTTCTTTTTTTTCAATTAGCATCTCATATACTAACAGTCTCTCCACTGTTAAATGATGTAATGATCCATGCAGAAAGGTAGCTTTTAATTGCTACACAGCTATTTCTCCTATTAAGTACTTCCATATTGCTTTGAGAGCGTAATTTAGGAAGTGAATGAACTATAGCTATCAATGTAGCTTTATTCTCTAAGGTGACTAATAACTAGGCCCCCAAATTACAGGTTCCTCTAGGATTTCTACCACTCAACAAACATGTTAAAATGATCTTTTAGGTTTAGACCACTGAATCTTAAATCTGAGATGTCAGATTTCATTTAATCTAGCTCCCTCTATATATATGAGACAGTCTGAAAAAGTTAATTGTTTTGAAGTTTATATGGTAACCAGAATCCAAAGCTTCCTAGCTTCCTGACTCTCAAAACAATGCTAAGTGTACTACTGCACATTATAGTGTCTCAATCTTTCAAAGAAGACATTACTACTATTTTCAAGTAAGACAGGCTCAGAAAAGGAACTAACCTATTTTTTTGTCAGTCATGTGGCAAAAGGTAGGTTTAAAAGTTAGTTCTTTTCTATTCTTACTCTCTGCTACAATATACTTTAATCTATTGAAAAGTAAGTTCCAAGAATAAAAATTTAAGGTAGAATGTAGCTATATGGATTATACACAAACCAGCAGATTTTTATACAAGTGGTAATATATCATCACTATAGTAAACTCAAAATTCGAGACTGTGACCTAAGGTCAAGAGATCCAAAACCCATTAGCCATCACCAATTCCCCAAGCTAGCTAGTACACAGAGGGCTGAACTCATTGGGCAGTGACAATGAACATCTCAAGGGTCAACTTTTTAATAAAAAATGCAATCAATGTGAAATGATCAAATGTTCTGGAAAATTTACAAAACCAAGACTTTCACCAGTTTGCACAATTTATTTTGAGAGAAAACAAATAACTTCAACATGTATCGTTGCATTAGAACTACTCAACTTCAGCCAGTGAAATATGTACCCCAAAAGGTACTCCTCTGGGTAAATATGCTGTTCTGGAATGTATGTGGAATGTAGCAATCCCCTTTAAAGTTTCTTTTTTTTTTTCTGAGACAGAGTCTCACTCTGTTGCCCGGGCTAGAGTGCTGTGGCGTCAGCCTAGCTCACAGCAACCTCAAACTCCTGGGCTCAAG